GGGCAACTGCAACTGGTTCTGCGAGGGCTCCTTCAATGGCAGAGAGAAGGAGACCATGCAGTTCCTGAACGACCGCCTGGCCAGCTACCTGGAGAGGGTGCGTCAGCTGGAGCGGGAGAATGCGGAGCTGGAGAGCCTCATCCGGGAGCGGTGCCAGGAGCAAGACCCCTTGGTGTGTGCCAACTACCAGTCCTACTTCCGGACCATCGAAGAGCTCCAGCAGAAGGTGAGGGGCCTTGCTGTCATCTCCAAGCAAGGGGAGTTCGCTGTGATTCTCAATCTGTAATAGACAAGCGTGTTTCTTCTATGCTGTTATAATTCTTGCCCTTTTTACCTTCAAAATGGCTTTTTAAGTCATTTAAAAGAAATCGATGACTTCACATGTATTTTCAATTCTCACTAAGAAACGTCTTGCTCCCTAGATCTTGTGCACCAAGTCTGAGAACGCCAGGCTGGTGGTGCAGATTGATAACGCCAAGCTGGCTGCGGACGACTTCAGGACCAAGTGAGTTGTTTGGAATTCACACTGGTGTCTGTTTCTCTTGTTTAACCTCTAGTTAAAGAAAAGGGATTTCTTCAGCTTTACTGATGAACAGATCAACTCATCAGTTGTGAAGGATTCTTCAAAGGACTGGGGAGAACCTAGCAAAGGAATCACAAAAGTAGATGAGAACTCAAATCAATCTGTGTGAGACAAATATTGAATCTTGATTGAGGCTCCAGAACTCTCTAGCTCCTGGGTCCACTCATTGCAGAAAGTGGGAAAACAAGGCAAATGAGGTTATCAGATGTTCCTGTGAGTCTTGAAGATCTGCCAGGTACCGCTCTGACCCTGTCCTTGTGCAGGTATGAGACCGAGCTGTCCCTGCGGCAGCTGGTGGAGTCGGACATCAACGGCCTGCGCAGGATCCTGGATGAGCTGACCCTGTGCAAGTCTGACCTGGAGGCCCAGGTGGAGTCCCTGAAGGAGGAGCTGCTCTGCCTCAAGAGCAACCATGAGCAGGTGAGTCCAGAAATGAGAGATGAAGAAACCTGATGCAGCCTGGAGCTGAGTGCAGCTTTAGGGACTTGGAAGAGCAGAATCCAGAGCGCGAATACAGGCTGAGGATGTCTTTATAAATTTCCTTTAAAAACACCAACACATCAGGATGCAAGAAAAATTGGAACGAGATAAAACTCATCCATGTTCCCAGATAGGATGTATCTTTTACTCAAAACTGGTGCATCATTTGAGCTTCCCAGAGCACCTCCATCTGCTTGTCATTGGCCACCGAGTGGTAGAGTGAGTCCCCATTGCTGCGTTATGGCTGTGCAAAGTCCTTTAATCAAGCCCGATGAGTGTGAGTCTCTACTCATTCAGAGTCTGGTGAAGAATGTCTGGGGATCTTTCTCTCTCCTGGGAGGAGCCACAACATGCTCCTACCTCTTACTTGATAGCAAGAATTGTTTGATATACAATCTGAAATTGTACAGCCAATATTGTGCATTCTGAGATCCTCACAGCCAATCTACATACTGGGAAAACTGTGATTCAATTAGTTCATCCTTCAGTGGCAACCAGGCAAAACCTCGAGAGAATTTATTTTGCAGCCCAGTGCCCTGGCACAGCGATGTCGAGGAGGGTCCGTGCCACGCGGAGTGTAGGCCATTTTGCCTTGAGCTGTCACAGACTGCTCCACTCAAAGTTTCTTTTTGGAGGAAACAGACTAACAGAGCTTCTACACACAGTGTCATTTCTTAGAGTCCATTCTTTGTTGAGAAAGAGTAACTCTTGTATTTTCTGTATTCACAGGAAGTCAACACCCTGCGCTGCCAGATTGGAGACCGCCTCAACGTGGAGGTGGACGCCGCCCCCACCGTGGACCTGAACCAGGTGCTGAACGAGACCAGGAGTCAGTACGAGGCCCTGGTGGA